GAGAGAGAGAGAGAGAGAGAGAGAGAGAGAGAGAGAGAGAGAGAGAGAGAGAGAGAGAGAGAGAGAGGGTGAAGGATGGACGAATGGACGGACAGACAGACAGACAGACAAACCAACGGAGGGATGGACGGACGGACAGTCGGATGGATGGATGGATGGACGGACAGACGGACGGATAGAGACAGACAGAGAGATAGACAGAGAGACACAGACAGACAGACAGACAGACAGACAGACAGAGACAGACAGAGATAGACAGAGGTACAGACACAGGCACGCACGCAGGCACACACACACACACACACACACACACACAGGCACGCACACGCACACACACACACACACAGTCAAAGTTGTCAAACGGATGTTTGCTGACTGGCTTGACAACTCGAGATTAAACAGAGAGTGTGGCTGTCCTTCGGGACATCCGTTAAAATTGGAACGATACAGAGAAGAGTAAATTAGCAAATGGCACCTGCGCAAGGATGACACACATAAATTAAGAAATGGTCCAAAAAAAAAAGAAAAAAAAAAAAAAAGAAAAAAGAAAAAAGAAAAAAAGAAAAGAAGAACTGAGAGTGCGGCAATCGGGGTGGAACAGTGGGAACAAGGGAGTCTGTTCGTAAAGGAGACGGTGGAGAAGACTTAGGCAGGGAGGAAGAACCTTGACAGGTGCGCCCAGCACAGAAAGAGAGGAGAGGAGGGTTGATTGAACAAGGTTTTTAGGTAGGCAAAGTGAGCCTCAGGAAAGATGGAGATTGTGATGCTAAGTTGGAGGCTGTGATGTTATGTGAAAATGGGTAGTGAGACTGGGGTGGAGTGGTTACTATTGTCTTCACCCGAATAGAACGCACGGTCGTTATAGCCAGCAGATGAGCAAGCAAGAGAAAAGAAGAGGTTTCCTTGGGGGCAAGGAAGAAGAAAGTGGATGGTGGAGGGACCGTGGCGTCATGGAGGAATGCTTAGTGAACTGGTGGTGGGAAGGGACTCAAGGGAGAGAAGGACAAGAAACCGGGGGCTGTGACAGATTGTTTCACCGGAGTTGGAAGGACTCGTTGCAGGAGGCCGAAGTCTTAACAGGTGCATGGTCCGCAAAGAGACGTCGGTGTAACTTCTGGAAGTGCTAGTCTCCACATTAACCCCTGTTCCAGCTGGCCAGCAACCACTGCCCCACGGACGGCACAGCGCATACCTGGAGGCGAGCACCAGCCAGTACCCTCGAGGGTACCCTGAAGATCAGGAGGGTACCCTGCGAGGCCGAAAGGGCACCCTTGGAGCCCAGGAGGGTACCGTGGGAGCCCTGGAGGGTACACTAAGAGCCCCGGAGGGTACCCTTGGAGCCCTGGAGGGTACCCTTGGAGCCCTGGAGGGTAGCCCGGGAGCTTACCCTTGGAGCCGTGGAGGGTACTGTGGGAGCCCTGCACGGTACCTGTTACATGCTGCGCCTGCAACAGGCTGCACGGGCCATTTTTTTCAGGCCCGTGTCGTTTTCAGCCCGAAAGCCTGAAAACAATGGCCTACAGGCCCTGTGTCGTTTCAGCCTGAAAGCCTGAAAACAAGGGCCTACAGGCCCTGTGTCATTTCAGCCTAAAACAGGGCCTTCCCGGCCCTGAGTGTTTTCAGCCTGAAACGGAGGGCCATTTTCAGGCCCTCATCAGATCGACCTGCCCTGAAACTCAGGCACCAGACCAGGGTTTTAGCACAGGCCATTTTGGGCCTGTTTTCAAGCCAACCCTTGGTTGAGCTTCAACGCCAGGGTCTGGCACGTTTTGGAATTGGCAAGAGCAGCCTCCTGGACGGGCCAGCACTATATAGGACTGGCCCGCCCTGCAGGCTGCAGGTAGCTCCTAGGTACTTCCCAGGCACTTCACGTGCAGTTCAGGAGGCAGGAGGTAGTCTTCAGGATTCGGCAGCAGCACTCTGGAGGAGCGCTGCAGGAGCAGTAGTAGCGCTAGCAGTGGTCTTCAGCGCTGGGCGCTAGTAGCGTTAGCAGTAGTCTTCAGCGCTGGGCGCTAGTAGGAGCTAGAGTAGTACTGGAGAGAGAGAGAGATTGGGCGGAGGCCAGGGAGACTTACCTGCAGCGCCATAGCTCCAGCTTCGTCTTCGAGGTACCTGCAGCACAGCGCCATCTTCACAGGTTAGTACCTCGCACATGAGAGAGAGAGAGAGAGAGAGAGAGAGAGAGAGAGAGAGAGAGAGAGAGAGAGAGAGAGAGAGAGAGAGAGAGAGAGAGAGAGAGAGAGAGAGTTCTTCTTCTTCCTCTTCTCAGTCCACCATCTTCCTCTCACCCTCTCGCTACCTGACTTCACTGCATCAGCAGACTACGAGAGAGAGCGGGATTGGTGACATTTGGTCCAGACTCGACATTGGGGCTTCAGACATTTGACGAGGGGTTATTTGGGACTTGTAACGAAGACTTGGCGTTGACGACATTTCCATCTCCCCCCCTCTCTTCTTCATCTGATTCCCTCCTCTTCGTCTGTGCATGATCTGGACCTGGCGCCTTCTTCCTGTTTGTAGCGCCAGGCCCCTTCACACCTTATGATAAGGATGATGTATGTTTGATCTGCATTGCGACATTGATTGGGCTAGTCATTGGTATTCCAGCATTCTGCTACGCTGTCTTGTACTTCGTGAGGGAGGTCAGTCCCGGTCAGGTCAGGGCTTATATCTAAGTCTTCCATTGCGCTACAAAGCACCACTGTTGTATGTATCAGGATGTACACTGCTTGTTGAGATTCTACTGGCACTGCATTGTCCATTCAGTCCTTTTTATCACATTGCGGACCCTTGGTTATATATGTACATCGCCCAACTGGGCATGTAACAGTACCCTTGGAGCCCTCCAGGGTGCACTGGGAGTCCTGGAGGGTACCCTTGGAGTCCTGGAGGGTACCGCCGGAGGCCTGGAGGGTACCCTGGAACTGCCATTTCGTCAAAATGGACATTTTTTAATTTTTTGAACAAAATTGAAACCAAGTTTTTTTGCCGAAAACAGGTCCAAATTTGCTGCTCCTGAGGGTCTGGCATTCTTAAAATGCCAGCCCCCTGGATGCATCTGGTCTCCAGCTAAGTCCACATACATCCAGGGGTCCAGCGTTTTGAGAACGCTGAACCCTCAGGAGCCAAAACTTTTGACCTGACTTTTCCCGGGTTGAAATGTGGACGGATTCCCGGCCTCCTTTTGCAGATATAATGACACTATGCTATTTCAAAAAAAAAAAAAAACAAAAAAAAAAAACTTTTGACCTGTTTTCGGCCAAAAAACTCAGTTTCAATTTCGTTCAAAAAAAAAAAAAAAATTGTCCATTTTGACAAAATGGCAGTACTGGGATGAAAATCAAAGGGGGCTATCGCCTACCGTGGATACCTACCCACCACCACACCAGATGGAAGACTCTGTATACACGGCAAATAGAAGGGAATGCCAAAAGTAAAGGGCACCCCCCAAAAAAGGAAACTTTTTTTTTTTTTTTTTTTTTAATTGTAAAGGGGACCATTTCAGACTCTTCAGCTACACCTATTTGCAGGAGGGATTTTTTTTTGTTTCTGAGAAAAGTGGAGGAGGGAACCAACTGTGCACTTGGTTGGGGGAGAAAAAATAAAAAAGAGATCTGATCTGACTTTTCAATTGAATGAAATACAAACTTTTTTTTTTTTTTTTTTTTTTTTTTTGAAATACTTTGGAGTCTGGACTATATGATCGGGTTGTATGTTTTTTAAACTTTTTTTTTGTTTTTTAAACTTTTTTTTTCTTTCAATTCCGTTGCCCCCCCGCCCCCTCCCTCCCCCCTTCAACCCATTTTTATAACAGAGCCTGTGAACTTGGAAGTTTGACGATCTCTCAAGTCAGAAGAAAAAAAAAAAAAAAAGGTCATGGATTGTGATGTGGGAAAATTGGTGACTGGTACAGCCTTGCTCTCGCACCACCGCTGTGGTCCCCACCTACCCCGTGGGCTAGGGAGAGATCCGGTTTGGTTGGTGTTCCCCTGAATACTATACATAGACTAGTGTGAGGATGAGATAGATGAGTACTACCAAGAAAGAAGAAATAAATGAGAGAAAATATACGTTACCTTTATTAAAAAAATAAAATAAAAAAAATTGGTGACCTTTGGATGAGAGTTAGAGTTTAAAGTTTAAACACAACCGTGTAAATCGTCTTCTTATGTCCTTTTTTTTTTCTTTTTTTTTTTTTCCTTTTCGTTATTTCAGATGTTTTATTGCTTCCAGTGTTTGATGATGATGACGGATGTTTATTCCTCCTGAAGATGGTACTACACATAACTACAGTCTTTATCCGAATAGGTGACTCTGGAAAGCGTTTCAGTCACGGTTTCGCGAATTTTGCTCCAAAGCGAGGGAAAAAAAGAAAATTGCGAATGTATTCAACCCAGCTTTCGGGTTGAGTGGGGATGTGTTGTATTCGAGGGATGGCTGAAGTGGATTTAGAAATGAAAACGTGACTGCGCCATATTTACCTCCCCCTCACCCCCTCCCCCTCACCCCCTCCCCCTCTCCCCCCCCCGGGGAAAAAAAAGGGTTTATTCAATTTTTTTTATTGAAGCAAAATGGAATCCAAGGTCAGGGGACGGCACAATTCTACCCGTCAAGGTACTGGGTCCATCAGGATCTCAAGATCGTATTTTGACTTTCACTCTGATTTTGACTTTTGACTTTTGACTCTTTGACTCTTTGACTTTGACTTTTGACTTCTGACTTTGACTTTGACTTTGACTTTGACTTTTGACTTTTGACTTTGTATCTAACTTACTCTTTGTGACTGTTTGATTCCGTTTTGACAACTTTGCAGCCTGACTCGTACAAGTGCCCCCAATGCTCCGCCCCTAAAAAGGTGAGATTTTGTTTTTAGGGGGAGGGGAGGGGGGGGTGGGGGGTTAGGGGTAGGAAGGAGGGAAGGTGAAAGAGGAATTATTGAGGACAGCAGACATGTTGTGGCATGTCCTTTCCAGAAACTCCTCTTTCTTTTCTGTTTACTGAACTTTTATTCAGATTTCCCTTTTTTTTTTTTTTTTTTTTTTTTTTTTTTTTTTTTTTTTTTTTGAAAAAAATTCAAAAAACTGAAGCACAATGTGCAGGCCTCTCCTTCAAATCTTGAGCACAAAATAACTACCATCCATCTTCCTAAGCCATGGCTAAAGATGACGAATATGGGTTAACTAGGACCATAACCCCCGACATTACATCACCATGAAGTGGCATGAGCAAGTCTTCGATACCTCCTTGTAACCCAAAATTGGCTTCCCAAACCAAAGAACACCCTTGCAAAAAGATGTAGGCTTCTAAAACTCCGCCGTGCCAATCTATTTGCAGCACCTACTTGATAATGCAAGGAAATGCACTAGAAGGCTAGTAGCAGTGCGTCTATTTGCAGCACCTGCTTGATAATGCAAGGAAATGCACTAGAAGGCTAGTAGCAGTGCGAGCGACAATACAGTTGAATGAACCAGACTGCAGCATTCCATGGAAATTTCAGATTAACTTTGAGTTCGAATTGAAAGAGAGTTTGGCCACTATACTAATAGATTGGAGCAACCTCGTCTCCTACTAGGGGAGGATGCTCTTTACGATCTCCCTTAGTAAGGAGGTTC